GAGTTTGTATCGGAGCTGCTGCAGGCCTCCATCCAAACTCACCTGGATAATAATTAATTTTATTCCGGATCACGCTGTTGGCCCCTGTTGACCTGAAACGAGCTTGGATCATGCCTTTCACTTCAGGAGGATTTCATGGCAGCTCGCTTTGCTATTTGCTACGAATTATCTGTTTCTGTTTTGGCCTGTTGATTCTGGACCCAGTTTCTGTTTCCCATGGGAGCATCCATCCATCTTCACTGGGGGGCCGGAGCCCCCCTCAGCCCAACTCAAACTGCAGTTGGGCCAACTCGTCGGGTTTGTTTGCCCATTTGAACTGTGACGTTTTATGGTCTGAAACTTTTCTGCATCATTCATATTACAGTCACTATTTTCAGTTCTCAGATTATCTGGAGTCACTGAATCTTGTTAATACACCTGAATCTGTCCATCACTGCAACTTTCACTGTTTTTGGGTTCTGAATGATCGCGTCTTCATTAATGTTTCTCATGGTTCGATTATGGGGGTTAATTGTCACACTGTTAACTCCTATAATTACACATCAGTCACAAAAAACTCAAGAAAATGTCTGATAATAATGTTGTTACTGCTCTCAGGGATTCAGCCCAACCCTGGACCCCCCACTAATTACAGCACACCAAATGACTTTAAAAAATGCCTCTGGACTTCATTTTCTGCATGTAAACGCTCGTAGCCTTCTGAAAAAACTGGATGCTTTGAAAATCCTGGTCAGTTCTTCTGGGGCAAATGTTATCTTTATTTCTGAATCCTGGCTCAACAAATCTGTAATGAATAATGACGTGGCAATCAATGGATTTAACATCTACCGCTGTGATCGTCAAAAAAGGGGGGGTGGAGTCATTATTTACATTAGAGATTCTCTGGTTTCTAGTCTTGTGACTTCCAAAACAATTCCAAACCAGTTTGAAGCCTTATCTGTAAACATCACCTTGAATGGAGGCCAGATTTTAACTGTAGTCTGCTGCTATCGCCCCCCCCAGCTTCACCTGAGGCATTAACTGCCATGAAAGAATTTCTTGGTAATTTAAAATTCAAAGAGATCTTTTTGGCTGGAGATCTCAACATTGATTGGTGTAAGTCGACCCCCCTCTGTGACAAATTCAAGGAATGTTGCTTGTCTTTTAATTTAACCCAACTTATCAATTCTCCCACTAGATTAAATATAAACCATCCTGAAAATTCCTCCATCTTAGACCTGTTTCTAACTAATATGCCTCACAAATTCCCTGGTACAGGTGTATTCGCTGATCTTTTGAGTGATCACTGTGTGACAGCGGCTTTGAGAGATATTAAACTTCCACCTTCTAAGCCCAGATTAATTCAAAAAAGGGATTTGAAACGTTTTTGTGAACAGTCATTCCTCTGGGATATGTCTCACTTTGACTGGCATCGTATTCTGTTAACTGATGACGTGAACTCTGCTTGGAACTATTTCCATAATAATTTCATTTATTTCCTGAACATACATGCTCCTTTTCGTCAGTTCAGAATAAAGGGACGAGACAGCCCCTGGTTTACTCCAGATCTAGCTGACCTCCTGCACAGGAGAGATCATCTTTGGGCTGCAGCGAGAAAATCTGGCTCAGACACTGATTGGTTGAGTTTTCGACAGATGAGGAATAAATGCACAACTGCTGTCAAAGCAGCAAAACGCAACTATTTCTTATCTCAGACCTCCAAAAATCTAAATGACCCTAACAGATTCTGGAAAACCATCAAATCTCTCTCAGGCACCCCCCAATCATCTGACCTCCCATCACAACTTCTCGTTAATTCTGTTCCTGTGTCAAATAAGCACGAGATCCTGAACTGTCTCAACAAACATTTTGTTGCTTCTGGTTCTTTATTTGACACAGTTACTAATGGAAGATCAGCCACTTCACTTAATAACCAAACTTCTACAAATCAAATCCCTCCTACAAGTCAATCCTCAGTTAATCACAGCTTCTCTTTTACTCCATTCTCAGTCAGTGAGGTCAATAAACTGTTAATAGATCTTGATCCTAAAAAATCTGCATGTCCAGATGAACTTCCACCTTATTTCTTAAGGCTGGCCGCTCATATCATCACAGTCCCTGTGACCCACATCTTCAATCTCTCCATAAGACAAAACTCCATCACAGACACTTGGAAAACAGCCTTTGTTCTTCCTTTGCTGAAGGGAGGTGACCCCACCTCACTGAACAACTATCGACCAATCTCTAAACTCTGCATTTTAGCCAAGGTTCTAGAAAAACTGATAAACTCTCAAATCAAAAAATACCTGGACTCATTTAACATCTTACCTCCACATCAATCTAGTTTCAGGAAACAACACAGCACAACCACTGCTTCACTGAAGGTTCTTAATGATGTTGTTGAAGCACTGAATGCTAAGGATTATTGTGCTGCACTTTTCTTAGACCTGTCTAAAGCTTTTGACACTGTGGATCATAACATCTTGTGTCATAAACTGTCAGAAATCGGTTTCTCAGATCACACCATTGGTTGGTTCTCTAACTATCTTTCAGACCGGAGGCAATGTGTTCAACATAATGGTACTTCCTCCAGTTATTTAACAGTCAACAATGGTGTACCACAAGGCTCAGTCTTAGGACCCACCCTCTTTACAATCTACATACATAATGTAGGTAAAAACATCCCTAATGCATCCATACATTTATATGCTGACGACACAGTTGTTTATTGTCGAGCTAAAACTGTTGCTAAGGCTTTCCAGCTTTTGAAATCTGCATTCAACATCATCCAGACTGATTTGTTTCGCCTCAAGCTTGTCCTAAATGCCAACAAAACCAAAGGGATGCTTTTTTCAAATAGGAAGTTGGTCCCAGCAGTTCTTCCTCCGATTTTATCCTCAAATGGTGTCCCCATTGAGTTTGTTGATTCCTATAAATATTTGGGTATCTTGGTCGACTCACATCTCTCTTTTAAGCTCCATGTGGAAAACTTGATAAAGAAACTGAAAGTTAAACTGGGTTTCTTTTTCAGAAACAGATCCTGTCTAACCCTGAATGCTAGAAAACGCCTTGTATCTGGGACTTTCCTTCCCTCAATTGATTATGGTGACATTATTTACATGAACGCTCCTACAAGAACCCTGCAGATGTTGGATGCTGTCTATCATGGTGCACTAAGATTCATAACTGGCTGTGATTATCGTACCCACCACTGCACACTGTATTCACTGGTTAACTAGTCATCATTAACTTCACGCAGACTCTCTCACTGGTATATTTTCATCTTTAAATCACTTCTTGGTCTGTTGCCTTCATACATCTCCTCCTATATGTCTCTGCGTGAGTGCAGCTACGGAGTGCGCTCTCAGGACATTATTACCTGCAGTGTTCCCTCAATGAGGACTGAACTAGGCAAAAGGGCCTTCTCCTATTCCGCTCCTGTTTCCTGGAACATCTTACAAAATATTTGAAGCTCTCGACCTTGACCTCTCTAAGTGTCTTTAAGAATCTGTTGGACACCTGGCAGGGTCCAATGCTGACATGTTCCTGTTTTTAGTTTTCTACATTTGTCTTGGAATCTAGCTGTTTTTTTGTTTTGTTACCTTTTCCTTATAGCCATCCTATTTGTTAAAAAAAAACAAACAAAAAAAAACTGTAGTATGCTTTTTTATAACTGTTTATTGTTGTTGCTGTTGTCCATTGTTGTCATCTTTCTTTGTTGAAATCAGGTCTCTCTTGTAAATGAGTCCTCGAGGCTCAATGGGATTTACCTGTATAAATAAAGGTTGATTGATGCCCTCATTTATACAGCACTACTATATCGTTACAAAGACTAATCAGTGTTTTAGATCACATTCATACATCAATGGAACACATCAGAGGCAATGATAATTTCAGTGTCTTACCCATGGACACTTCAGCATTTGACTGAAGGTGGAATCGAACCACCAACTCTCGCATTGTAGGACGACTGCTCACCACTCAGCCACAGCCGTCCCATGTACAAAGGTATGTAAACCATTTTTGGTAGGTCCTAATCATTCTTTCATATTATTTTTTAATTTATCTTTACAGTTTTTAATGTAAAAAAGTAAACAAAAAACAAACAAACAATACTTTAAAGTGTTGTACAGTTGATTTGTTTCATCATCTTGTAATTTTAGACCCTCCAGTGGACCCTCCAGTTGACAGTAAACAAATTGCAAATAAAAAAATGTTACATTTCTTTTGGCTGTTCCCTCTTCTGGGGTTGCCACTGTAAACTAACATGCACAAAAGATTGTGCAATTTTTTTACATTATGCCCTTTTGCCCTTTTCTTACACAAGGTGGGTTTGAACCTGCAACCTCAGGATTGCAAGATCATGGCACTGACAACCAAGCTACTGCAGCTCCAAACAAATTTCAAGTAGAGCCTAAAAATAATGTTTATTGTAAAAATGACACAAACTTCTAATAAATACTTTGTTTGACTTAAGATCTTTACCAATTTGCCATCAAATATTTATTGAAACATCTATCTAAAATGGTAGAGAAGAGGTGGTACAGAGGTTAAAAAAGGTGAGCCTGTTATCGGAAGGTTGCCAGTTTGAATCCCCAAACATTTTTAACATTTAGGTGGGAAAGGAGAAGCACTTACACCATATGTGTCAAATTCAAGGCCCGGAGGCCAATTGTGGCCCTCATTGACATTTTATCTGGTCCTCAAGATGATATGTAAAACATAAAATACTTATATCTCTTGAATTTTTTTCAGTAATCTTTGATTATGTTGTTGAAAGTACAACAGAGATCAAATGAGACCAATCAAATTCATGTTGAAGAACCTGTGACCAAGAAAAGAGGTTCGGATTTGAGTTAATGTACCGTAGGTTCTAAAATTGGCCCTTAGTTTGAAAAAACGTTTTAATTTTGGTCCCCTTTTGTAAGAGAGTTTGACATCCCTGAACGCCATCACTTGTTTTTGTAAAAGAACAAACGGAGAATATTTTATATGAACAGTTTCACTTGTCTTTCTCCTACCATTTAACTGCGGCATCATCTCTGGAGATGTGGCAGAGCAGAACTACTGGATCCAGCTCCATGGTGCTACGGTGAAGTTCTTCATCTGGGACCGTACTGAATTCCACCGGAGGGTCTAAAATTACAAGATGATGGAACAAATCAGCTGCTGGAACTTTGTACCTTCGAAACTTTGTACCTTCATCAAAAGGTCCCTCATAAAATTTCTGGGTTTGATTATGTTAAAAACAGTTGTGGGACCTGTGGCAAGTTTATTTCTACATCCATCCATTATCTTTTACCCGCTTCTTCCATTTTGGGTCACGGGGGTCGCCGGTGCCCATGTCCGGCAATCACTGTGCGAGGGGAGGGGTACACCCTGGACGGGCCGCGAGTCCATCACAGGACCACATAGAGACAAACAACCATTCACTCTCACTCATTCACACATAGGGACAATTTAGAGTTACCAATCAGCCCAACATGCATGTTTTTGGTCTGTGGGAAGAAACCGGAGTACATGGAGATAACCCACGCATGCATGGAGAGAACATGCAAACTTCACCCAGAAAGGCCCCCGGACTGGGATTTGAACCAGGGACCTGCTCACTAAGTGGCAGCAGCTCTACCAGTTGCGCCACCGTGCTGCCCTATTTATACATACAGTTTTAACAAATTAATTTGAATTGTGGCTAAGAAACTAGAAACAGTCATCTCATAATACATTTTACAAGTTAAATCAATTATTTATTTGAATCTGTATTGTTTGCAATAAAGTGTGTAGAACACAAAAGTTGAGGTTTATATGCCACCACTTTTTCTGATATGTCTAGATATATTTCTAAAAATGTTTTACCTGCAACATCCACATTGAATGTGACAGTATCTGCTGTCGTTTTACATGTATAAACTCCTGAATGAGATGCATAGGCAGACTGGATTACAATCCTTCTCATATTCCCATCTGACTGGACGCTGAGCTCATCGTTTGCGTGAAGTTCTTTGCCATCTTTGCACCAGGATACTTTGGCAAATGGATGGGAAACTTCACAGTAGAGCACAATGGCATTTCCAGTTTGCACTTTTTTGTTGCAGTCCGACTCTGACAGAGGGACAAATCTGACCACAGCAGCTGTAAAGAAATCAGAACTTGAAATGACCGTACGCAGTTCATCTAAAGGGAACATTTAACAACAATGAAAGATGTTTATACCTACGTTTAACCTGAAGCACCGCTGAATCTCTGACCCCGTTGGCTATGAACGTGAGCTCTGCTGTGTCCTCAGCTGCTTCAGCTTTATGGATCATCAGTGAGTGCTTTGTTTGGTTGTGTTGTATTGAATAGCGTCCACCATGCTTCAGTTGTAAGCTATTCAAAAACCAGGTTCCAGCCATTGGGACAGACAGTTCAATGAAAAAGTGTGCATCGTCTCCTTCAACTACTTCGCAACCTTGAAGACTGCGGAGAATCTTTGGCCCTGGGACTGGAGTAATAAAGAAATGGTAGAAGTAGGGTAAGTCAAACACATAAGATCATAGAAAACAAAAATCGGCATGCTGCTCACCAAGGTGGATAACTTTAGGGAACTCCACATGGCCGCTTCGTCCATACTTATTGATGCAGCAAACGCGGAAGCGGTAGTTGCCTTCACACGGCACGCTGTCACTAGTAATTTCAGCCAAAGTGCTAGTCTCCGAGGTGAAACATTTCGACCACTCCTGAGAACCCACTTCTTGTCTCTCAAGAACAAAGATGGAGCGGGTGGTGGTTTGGCTGTTGGGGGCGGGCTCCCAGCTGAGTAGAGCACTGTTGGGTCTGTCCACGTCCATTTTGACATCCAGAGGACAGATGGGAGGGCAGTGTCTGGTGGCTTTAAGACAGAGCACGGAAGTGAAATTATTGGTTTTAGATACGGTGGATGTACAAGGTGGCTTAATACTTACATTCTACTTTTTTGTTTTCTCACATTAAAGATTTGATCAACAAGCCCTTAAAGACTGTATTGTAATTTCTTCAATTTTTTACTTTTATGTTTTCAAAATCTTAAAATGTGTAAAAATATTCTTAAATGCTATTACAGTGTTTTCTTCTTCTATCAGATGTTCCCTCTTCCATGGCCACCACAGTGAGTCATCCTCCTCCATCTCACTGTCTTCACTCCAACTACCTCCATGTCCTCTCTAACTGCATCCATATATCTCCTCTTTGTCTTTTTCCTGGCAGCTGCATTTCTAACATCCTTCTACCAATATACCCACTGTTGCTCCGCTGGACATGTCCAAACCATCTCAGTCTGGCCTCTCTAACTTTATCTCCCAGTTGTTCAACATGTGCTGTACCTCTGATTATCTCATTCCTAGTCTTATCCATCCTTGTCTCTCCTAAAGAGAACCTCAACATCTTCATTTCTGCTACTTCCAGCTCTTTCTCCTGTCTTTTTGTCAATGCCACTGTCTCCAGACCATACAACATAGCTGGTCTCACCACTGTCTTGTAAACTTTTCCTTTGACCTTTGTGGACGCCTTTTTGTCACAAATCACTCCTGAAACTTTTCTCCATCCACTCCATCCTGCCTGGACTCTTTCACCTCTTTACCACACTCCCCATTTTCCTGGACAGTACTTGAAGTCCCGCATCTTTGTGACCTCTGCTCCTTGTAGCTTCACTGTTCCACCAGCCTCCTTCTCATTCACACATATGAATGCCGTCTTACCACAGCTGACTTTCATTCCTCGTCTTTCAAGTGCATACCTCCACCTCTCCAAGTTCTCTTCCACCTGTTCCTTTTTCTCACAACAGATCACGTCATCTGCAAACATCATCATCCATGGGGATTCCTGCCTGACCTCATCTATTAGTCAGTCCATCATCAGAGTAAACAAGAAGGGGCTCAGAGCTAATCCTTGATGCACTCCCACCTTCAACTTGAAGCCATCTGTCACTCCTACAGCACATCTCACCACTGTCCTGCTGTCCTCTTACATTACATGTTCTGTACCAGTCTAACATGTCCTGCTGTCCTCATACATGTCCTGAACCAGTCTAACATGTCCTGCTGTCCTCATACATGTCCTGTACCAGTTTAACATGTCCTTTATTCAACAGTTTAGAAAGCTTTTGGCCAATCACAATTATTTTCAAAGAGATGTTTTCTTTTCAATGTGCTACCACTCCTGTGTTCATGTGCATACAAAGGATTCTAATGAATTGGAGACTTAGCTAATTTTATTCATAAAAAAGTGTAAACCTTTAGTTGAATCTTATATAAAAGCTTTAAAAACTGGTATGTATCTCATGTACAATCAGGTTTCAGTCCTTTGTTGTATATTGAGTTTAGTAGTCCACAGAAAAATTGACAACATAATGAAGTAGCTACCGGTAAGTTACCTTAATAAGCTGTGATGACCAGAAATTGTAATAGTTCACTATAGTCTGCATAATAAATTATAATACCATCACTGTGTCTGTCTTGTCCCTTAACTCTAGTTCTGTGAATATAAGCTGTGATTTATAAAACATTGGAAATAAAGTGTCACTAAAATGATTTCCACAGAATAATATTTTAAGATTAATTAAAAGTAAATAAGTAGCATTCACACTGAAATTATGGACTATTATGAATTTGCTCAGGTTGTATACCCAACCAGCAGTGGCTGTCCAGCGTGTACCTTTGACTTTGAGGCGTGATGAAGTTTTGGATCTTCCAGCAACAAATGTTACAACCCCCGAATCGTGATAGGCCACACCGACAAAGACCAAGATGTGAGTCTTGCCAAAAGATTTGAGGATCGTTTGGTGCGTCTCATGCAGCTTTAAACCATCTTTGAACCAGTGAACTTCCATGTCATCATTCCCCACCTCAACGCAGAACACTGCATTCTCTCCCTCCATAACTTCCAGCTTCCGGGGAAGTTTACAAGAAATGGTACCTGTTTATAGAAATACAAAAAAATAATAATAATAATAATTATCTTAGGTTTCCATGTGAATGTGAATCATTTTTTAAAGAATGTCCATTTAAAACTCCTACTGTACTTAGATTCAAAGCAGGTACATTTTATTTTATCAACTTTAAATTGACTTCTTTTGCCAACAGTTATTTACAAAGACAAAAGACTGAAGTGAAAAGTCAAGCTGGTTTGCAAATTTTAAAAAGGATATTTGACATTCAATGGAGCACACCTTTAACTGATAATTCAGCGATGCTCTTTGCTCCATCAGGCATCTCACAAAGGTAGACTCCATCATCATCTGTTCCAACATCGTGGATGGTTAATCTTCGTTTGGTTCCTTTCTGCTCCATTCCATATTTATTGCTGGGAATCAGCCTCTGGTCTTCAAGGTACCAGGAAGCAGGGATTGTCTCATCAGGTACTTCACACTCTAGTACAGCAACATCCCTTTCCTTTACCTCCACATCTTTTAATGGGTGCCTGAACTGCACGGCCGGACCTAAAGAACATTGAAACGTGAAATTTTGCGGTATGTGTTCACACCTAAGTGTGGAAGATATGTACATTTTGAGCTTTTGTAGAACAGTAGTCGTCACACTATGAGTGCACAAACAGTGTTTCCCAGTTGTGGCTTCAGTATAAAAGACAGAAATCATCTAGATGCAGTAATAAAGAAACTCTTGGTCCAAAACAGTGCCAGTTTAAATTAAATAAATAAATATTTCCTGATACATTTTCCACATGAAGAATAACCGTCTCATTTTAGTTTTTCTTTTTTACGGTCCAGTTCACAAACCTAACATTTTTTTGGAATCCAGTAATGTTAATGGAAGTGTATGTGTTTTATTATAGGTGTTATGAGCTATTGTGCCAAGATATAAATGTGTCTTTTCCCAATAACTCAGTAAATCTGGTGAAGCTCAGGTGTCCCAGGTTTTCACTAGTCTTGAACGCAGCATTACATTTATGAATCAGTTGTAAGAAAGTCTCAAAACTCTCATTCAAAGATGAGCTGATCCACACACTCAAGTTGACTGATGGGGCCACAGCAGGTAATTTGTGCATGTGTATTTGACTATTCGTTTGCACAGAAAATTCCTACTTGTGCAAATTGAAATGTGTATATTTGAAAAACTGTTTATGCATTTGTAAAACTTGTAGTATGCTTATTAATCATGTTGTACGCTTGTGTGACTTCTTTTGAGACCATTTTAGCTACATCATGGTCTGCACCCACTGCTACCAGAACTGTTTGTTTATCATCAAAGTTCATGCTTAATAATTCAGGTAAAATATCCAACAAAATTCAGTCAGGTCATCTGGACGGTTTCTTTTTTTGTTGAGATGTTTCAGACGGATTATTGAAACTTGATGTTTTGAACCACGTTGGCTATGGCTGCCTCAGAGGAGTCGACGGGGGAGAGGGCGGGCCACAGAAACCATCTTATCACCAGCAAACTGGGTGGTCCACTATGTGAAAGTGCTGCTTGTGGGACTGAGTTGGTACCACTTCACAATAAGGCTCCCTTTGTAGATGGCTAATAAATAGTTTATAGATATGTTTAGAATTCCTCAATAAAACTTTATAAATCAATAATAACTGCTTATTATGCATTAATTAACGGTGATAGAGAGACTAAACCGACCAGTTTCTTGCCAAATAGTGAGTCAAATCTGTTCACTTATATATTTCATCTAGAGTTGTTACATTAAGCCAGTGCTTCTCAATTATTTTCTGTTACACCCCCCCCCCCCCCCCCGGAAGAAGTAAACATTTTGCGCCCACCCCCAACTCTCCGCCTCGACTATAAATAGTATAATTTTTCTATAAAAATTTTATAAGTACACCTCTGCATAACATTGTGTCCTTACTAACATTAAATAAAAAAGAAAAATACAGATCATCTTGCAACAAAGATTATTAAAGATTATTATAATTGTTTTTTTCTCTGTCCTCCGGTGGAACCAGACGTGTCTCTCAGTCTCCCCCCCCCCCGCCCCCACCCGTTTCCCTGCTGCACTCTTTTGTCCCGTGAACCCTTAAGAAGCCTCTTTTGTTTTTTTCTGCATACCTCTTAATTTGAAGGATCAGCTGGTCTCAACAAAATTGATCAACTTCTCCCAACAGGAGTCAGGGCATAAGGAGGACCCTCTTACCTCGACGGAAACAAATTGGATTCATGATGACAACTGGTTTTTGCTGTTTGGCTGGTGAATTCTGGATTGTCTATAAATTTGTGTGGATGTGTCGAATCTCGACAGCGCTCAGACTGAATTTGGGGAACTGCAGCAGGGAGCTGGAGCAGGCTGTTATCAGGACTGCGGACTCTATAGCAGCACACATGAAGGTGGGAATAATCTTGGAGAAGCTGTGAGCTCGATTTTGGCGTAAAGAATAAATTTGTCTATTTTGCAGTTCCATCAAAGGAATATGTACCAGCGAGACTATAATTAGGCAGAAACAACAATTCACGAGTTCTGCCAGACCCAAATTGTGGCCTTGATGTCGGACTTATCTCAACTCCTCCTGGAATGTTTTGAAAACAACAAAGATGCTTTGACTGTCTCCTCACCCATCCCTTCCCCAAGGCCGTGGACATGTGGCAGAACCTCAACTGAACTGATGATGAATGTCACCTCTTATCTGGACAATGGCTGAGG